AAACCAACACAGGGCTTTAGGCAGATTCTGCCCTCAGCTCTAGCATTTGCTGTTCCTGACTTGTTGAGTGGGCTTCCTGGACTGACCCTGGACCTGACTTGTCCCCCGCCACTTTCTCAGTGATTGCTGGACTCTTACAGCCCCTGTCACCATTCCAGCCCTGTTCTCCTGGCCTGGCTGGATGCTCTGGGATGAGCCCTTGTTCAAGTCAGTGCCTCTGTGTAGTTGCCCTCGGCTCCTGTGGGGCAGCTCCACTCTGACAAGCTACGAAAGTAGCAGCTTATGCTCTCTCTGGAAAACAAAACTCTGCATCTTGTCTCTCTCTAATGTATCATTCGCAAATTCTAAAGTGAGTCTGAAAGTAAAGGCAAGGCCTGAGATCTTGCATGTGGTGCATATCAACAAGCATCACAAGTTGGACTTCAAAGCAGAAGGAGTAAAAGACCTCAATTCTTATTCAAAAGAGCATTTAAATATCAGCAATGGAGAGATGGGGACATCAGAGTTTGGATCAGAAGCCAATTTTATTGAGTATACAAGGCGTTTATATAGGGTTTTACTTCATGGCACTTTTATAGAGTTCTATTTTTTGTAACAATTTCCCATTGGTTATGTATTCTTCATGACATCATGTCAACTGGTAACATTATCTTATCACAAAGTTTCACAACATGTTTCTTGGTCACTTCTTTCCCAGGGAGCATTAATCTGTGTCTATCTCTCCCATGGTTTCTACTTGATGAGGCCTAAGATATCAGGCCCCTTTATCAGTTCCATTGTACTCTCTGTTTTATTCCCTGTATTTAAGCACATGCTTAGCTTTAACCTGTCCTCAAATACTTTGAACTTAATTATATTGATTAAGACCCTTCCTCAGTATCAAGCTCTGTTGCTGTACTTTAGAAATGTGACTGTACACATCTGTATGTAGTTACACCTGTAGAAGCACTAGAGACTGTGCCCTTGTTGTATAGGAGGTATTACAAGAAAACAAAACAACAAGAACCCATGAGCTAAATGAGCAACAAAGCAAATTATCTTTTAAGTCCTGAAATATTTCTGGTGAATAACAATATTCACAGATCTTCCTTGTTGTAATTTTTTTTGGCTGAAGAACAGTACTGGGCACATAACTGCAGTCTGAAAATGCTTTGAGC